TTATACATCTCCCCCAAAAAACCGCTGAATATAAAAACATGGGGAAATACACCATTGAAAACATTCCATTTTAAGAGTAGGTTCTGTCATCCATATGAATTGGGAACCATGAAGATCGTTCATTGATCAACAAATTATGTATTATGTATTAGGGAATGTTTACGTAACAGGGAACAAAACAGATGTAGTCCTTGCCTTCACAGAGCTCACAACTTAGTAGAGACAGACCCCCCCCACCCCACACACACAATGAAGAAAACGAACAGCGGGTGATAATAAGGAATTAAGAGTAATGGTGGCAGGTAGAGGGCCGCTCAGATAGGGTGGACAGCTTGACAAGAGAAACTGAGGCTGACACTTGAAGGGTAAGAGTCAAATATGCAAGGAAAAGGAGAACAGCCCCAGAATTAAGGCCCTAAAGCAGGGGTGGTGGTCATATGCCACAATGCCAGCTTCAGGGGAATACAGTTACTATAGCACATTCTCCATTCTTCTATTTATCAATTCTTTTGCAGTTGTTTCTATCACTTCTCCTTTTCTGATGGTACAGATTTTCCTGGCTAAATTAAAAAATGGCATGAACTCTGGGAAATGTCAGATTGTTTCCAAATAATCCTAATTTCCCTCCAGTCCTCATGACTGATAAATTCATCTCCAAATGACAACTGTATCCTAATTAGGAAAGAAGAGTGTTTCTCTAGATCAGCTTTAATTTTTTGATTTGGAGTCCTCCTGATGCTAATCAACATGTTGTGTAATTACTTCAATAATTACTTATAGAATGTTCTTTTCTTCAGAAAAACGCCCTGCTGCTTTCTGAACCCTAGGTTGCTCTAGAGCCTAGACAGAGAAGGGGGACCGAAAGCACTAACCACTGGGCATTCTCAGATCTACTGCTACAGCTACATGTGAAATTATGTGAGCATGTGCTATACTGGAAAAAGCCCTGCATTAGAAATTAGAAGATATAGGTTCTAGGCCCAGGTCTGCCACTTTGTCACGCAAATTTGGTCAATTGTTTACTTTTATGTTTAGTCTTATTGGTAAAGTGGGAATACATGGAAGTTGTATCTTATATAAAGTCAACTGTATGTGCTTGGCAAAGAAGTTTAACAGAAAAATATCAATTTAAATAGTACTCAATGTGTGTAAGTCCAGGAGTAAGCATGCGCTGAAAGACATAAATATGTTGTTACATCAATTAGTCTCCATTTTTATGAGCCTCACTGAAAATCTTGCTCTGCTGCAGGATTTTAGGGTTTAAAGATTTACATACTTATTTATATATACTTTTATATATATATATATATATACATTTATTTGTTCGTTTAGGACAAGGTTTCTACATATATCCACTTGCTTCATCTAGGGCTCAAATAAAGAAACAGCCATTCAGATGATGTGATTTATTTTGTATGCTGAGCTTTAGAATCAAATAGGGTATTGACTCCACTATACCACTGTACTATTCTGGCACAGAGAGCACACAAGTCAAAGTTGATGGAACCCTGGGAATACACTGTTGAGACCGTGAGCCATCAATTTTTACTTATTGGTAACTAAATGACATAAAAACATAAATGACATAGTTTTATCCACTATGTCACCATTCCAATAGAGCTGTGCCACTGTTTAGGGAAAAGACATTCACATATATGGAAGATGAGGAATGTACAAAGCTATTCATTGCATAATGCTTTTAATAAAGACCAGGAAAAAATCTAAATGTCCAGAAGGAGAGGACTAATGAAGTGACACATCATACAATGGAATATTATGCTGCCATAAAAATGAAAAAGGAAACTTAATGACAAAGAATTTCTAAGATAAATGAAAAAAATAAAGTACATAAACTGTACATAGTACCATCTATGTAAAAAAGGGCAAAAAATAAAATATGTGTAGTATTTATTTGCTTATATACATGTAAAAGTTTTTTGGAAAAATATACAAGGAAACTGTTAGCATCGGTTGCTTCCTAGGCAAGGAACTGGGTGGCTAAGGGGCAGGAGTAGAACGAAAACTTTTCATTGCATATTCTTTTTTACCTTTTGAATTTTGAACCATGTGAATGTATTACCTAATCCAAAAGAAAACACAAAATTTAGATTGGCAATAAAGTAGTTTGAGATGGAATAGGATCAGGTTCTTAATGGAAAACATTTACAAAAAGTAGGCATAGTTCTGAGGATAAATATCTGCAGGTAGAATATCAGAATGGTGACTATTCCAGACTTCTGACTTTTTAGATCTATAAACCAAGGCCCTGAAAATTATGTGACTCATGTAAGGTCACACAGCAAAAGAGGATTAGAAATCACATATTCCAGTATTTATGCCTCTATGACTCTTCTTTATCATATTGTTTTCTCATTTTGTATGGGCAAAACACAAACAAGTTTAGGCTGTCATGTTCCGTCTAAAGCTTAGAGTCTAGAGTACAAAATAACCTCAAATCCTGAGGCTACTAATTTCTTGTATGGCCTTGATGTGGCTATACTTACAAATATGTGACTGCACGTATTATAATATGATAAATGTACTTTTTTCTATCCTATCTCAACTGAATTCACTGAGGGCAAGAACTAAAGTGTCTTAATTTTCTAAATATGCAAATGCCTAGCAGAAGTGTACTGCCAAAAATATTAATATAAGTTCACATTCCTTAACCAAAACCCAGAGTCTGGATGTGGTTTAAAAATAATAATTTCTTGGGACGCGTGGGTGGCTCAGCCGGTTAAGCCTCTGCCTTCCACTCAGGTCACGATCCCAGGACCCTGGGATGGAGTCCCTGCATCAGGCTCCTTGCTCAGTGGGGAGCCTGCTTTCCCGTCTGCCTGCCACTTCCCCTGCTTGTGAGCTCTCGTTCTCTCTCTCTCTCGCTAACAAATAAATACATAAACCTTATAAAAAAAAAGAAATAATTATAATAATTTCTTGATATTTAAAAATGTTACAAGGTACAAAAACCATTATGTAACACCTCCCATACCAGTGGCCAAGGGCAGCACCCCATAATCAAACATAAATATTTCTTCAGCAAAACATATGGGATAAAAATTATATATAATTTCTCATTTGCTCAGGTCATATTACCAAATGAATTTTGTCTCCAAGTTTAAGTTTTTGGTTTGCAAAGCCTCCTGAATGTTGGAATTAAATAAGATTATATAGACTGTACTCACAAAAGTGCTGTTAAAAAATATGGTTAGTCACTTTAGCTCTCATCTTTTTGATGAGATCAGAACAACCTATCATAGCAGACAGCTTTTACATCCAGGTTTGGGCTAAAGACTTGGTTTATGATTAAGAAATCCAACCTAGAATACAGGACAAAACCCCTGACACTATGAGAAGAAAAAATTAAAAAAAAGAAAGAAAATCTTAATTGTACATTATATTCTTATCGTAGCTGTTCATTAATTTAATAAAAGCTCTCTTTGATTAGATTGTGTTCATTTTTATTTATTTTTTATTATTTCTTTTTCAAAGATTTTATTTATTTGACAGACACACAGTGAGAGAGGGAACACAAGCAGGGGGAGTGGGAGAGGGAGAAGCAGGCTTCCCTCCCCCCAAGCAGGGAGCCCAATGCGGGGGCCGATCCCAGGACCCTGGGATCATGACCTGAACCGAAGGCAGGCGCTTAACGACTGAGCCACCCAGGCGCCCCTAGATTGTGTTAGTGTTTAATTAGAAACAGGTAAATAAAACTTCTGTCCCACACTGCTGACAGCAAGATTGCTTTAATTCTCCTGTAAGGTAACTGCACTTTCTGGGAACAGTGTACATAGAAAGACTCATTCTAAATATATTGGTAAAGAAAAAGCATTTATGTATTCAATTTTTTTCAACCTGTGACCGGTACTTTAATATAAATGAAAAGAGACTTTCTAGTCAACCTCTTCTAATTGACTCTCCTATATTATCATTCTTTTTATCCTATAAAGTCTTCCAAACTTTTTCTACTTTTTACAAGAGAGAAAAGCTCTGGAGTCAAAACACAGTATACACGAAAATCCTCTTTTCTTTCCACAACCCAAGCCCCACATCCATTTTGTTTCTGTCACTATTACATATTTTTTTCCTGGCAAAAAATCAAATTTGCACTAAAAGACTGTAAATCAACTTTACAAACAACGTTTCATTGATATAGTTCAGTTTGGCGATGTTGATTTTTCAATCTTAAAATTTTAACTGAATCAATTATTTTGTTCAACTTACGAAGTTAACAATTCAGCAAGCATTTATTACAAAAAGAATAGTGTATTCCATCCTAAAAATTGAAATAGCAATGGTGAACAAGAAAAACTCTGAGTTTGGCTATTATTTCAAGGTTGAAATACTAGGTTCTCATATTTTCATAATTCACTTATAAAAACTAGTTGGATCTTACAACAAATATACCAGTATATTAACAATCGAGTACAACAAAAAAGGTAAACAAAAACTAACCAGCCTGGTTTTCTGTCTGGAGAAAAACAAAACAAACTGCCTATTGGATTTCTTGGCCATATGCATTCCTAAGTACAGAAAACTAAAATCCTTTTTACTGAGGAATTTCTTGGTATATGGGACTTGTTTCCTCTATACCGCCCTATCAAAATTACCAGCATTATTCCAGAATATATTTAGTTTGAGACCACTAAAAATACCCCCCAGTCCAAAATGCCAACGGTGGTTACTCTGTAAAAAGAAATGGTCAGAAACTACATATTACTCTAGGACATAGAACCAAGCGACCAAAGGACTTCTAGAATATGCTGCCCCAAGATTCAGAATGCAATTCAGAAATAGCACACGCGGTCACGATGTCCCTTAAACCACATGACCTTCCTACGAAAGCAGAGCCTCAAACTTATCAACTACATGAGAACTCCCCCTTTCTCTTAAAACAAGGCAGGGCAGCTGAAATGAGCGCAGCAGGGACAGATCGGCTGCTGACTAGTAAAAACAGGTCGTGGATAGCAAAGTCCCTGTGTTTTGGCTACTCCCCTTACCGTTAGAAGATCTGGGAGGGAGGAAAGGAGGAGAAACACCCCAGAATCCTGGCAGAAAAGCCCCTGGCCTCGCAGATGGGGTTTAGGGAGACAGGGAGGGGCAGCTCCGTGTGTGGTGACCCTTTGTGAACACACACTCTGTGGCTGCTCGGCTCTCACCGAGGCTTTAGGAGAGCGGACTACGGGGGCCTTGCGCGACCCACAATCGTCGTGGAGGCCGCAGCGCTGCAAAAACGCGCCGGCCGACGGATTCCATTGCACCCCCCGCCTCTACAGGCCAGGGAGCCCTTCCCTCGCCCAACCACCCACCCACCCAGGTCACTCTCCGCGGCGTAGACTTCCGACCCGGGCTCGCGCGGGCCAGGGCGCAACGAGGTGCGCACCAGTCTCTTTCCTCAGCGTAATCCCTCCGCTGTCGGACGCGCACTAGTTTTAATCACGCCCCACCCCCTAGCCGCCGGCGTCACCTCCGCCACTCGAGCGCTTTCCAGCAGCTTCCAGAAACGTCGCCTCCCCAAACCCAGCCACTCACAGATGCCGGGCTCGGCAGCCACCGGCCCCGCCCCTAGCCGTCGCCGCAGCTGAAACTGCGGCTGCGACAGCCGGGCGGACAGCCACGCCTCTGCAGAGGCCGTCCGGAAGTGCTCCCGTTTTCGCCTTCCCCGCCACGCTGACGTCCCTTCAGGCCCCGCGCCGAACAGGAAGGGGAACTCTTTTGCCGCGGACTCAAACCGGAAGCTGCTTTTCTAGCGGAGAGGCCGGTGGGGGAGGAGCAGGCCGAGGGGAACGTGGGTTGAACGTTGCGTGATGTAGTGTGGACCCAGCCTGGAATAGGAGTTCGGAGCAACCCGGTGCGAAGAAGGGGCGTGCAGGCGGCAGGTAATAGTTTCCACCGGCTCCTCTAATCGGGAAGACGGACAGAGCTGGGAAAAGGGACTGTCTGTGGGGTAGTCGGCGCACAGAAAGGTGGGCTACCCTGGGAGAGGAAAGGGGCTGGGACTGGACTCGGCTGGGAGGGTTGGTGATTGAGGTATAGAAATAGAGTTACTGATTCGTTTTGTCTCAGAGAGGTAAATGCTGAAGAGAAACCAGAGTTGTTTTTCGCTCTTCCGAAGAGCGTGGAGATGGGGAGGGTTAACGGAACCCTGCTCCTCCTCGGCTTTCCAAGGTTGGTTTTAGAAACTGAGATGTCTTGGTCCTGGGCGTCTCTGATTCTGGAGGGCTGGGTTTGGTACCAGGAAGGGCCGGGCGCCCAAAGCCGACCTCATTCCTCGGCTTTAAGTCCGCTGTGGCCTTATCTTTGACAATTTATGTGCTGAGCCCGCTTGGTCTTGGGGGGCAAACTCAAGTTTAAGGCTCTTCTCGGAGCAGCTCGTTCTCTGGGTTTCCCCCCTGTGCACACGGGACTGTGAAACAAGCTTAACTGCATATCTTTCGTCATTCCCAGGGCAACCTTTACACATTCATTGTGCTGTAACTGCATTCATACGGGGCTAGGTAATTCACATTCGGGGACCGGGAATATCAGTGACTCACAGAAGTACTGAAAAGAGGGCGTCAGAAGAAAGGTGCTGAGGGTGAAGTGGAGTAGAGGAGGGTAAGATTGGAAAACCAGGTTGGTCTCAAGTGCAGTTAGCTTTAGGTCATAGAACTACGTTCAGGTAAGGTGTAAATAGATGATTTTAAGCTGAGCCGTGACAGACTCAGACTTGTTTTATACAAGCGTCACTTCGGCAGTGTTACAGAGAGGGGACGGGTTGGAGAGGTGGGGATTTGAGGCTTCCAAAGAACTGTCCACAGAATTTGGTGACACTTACTGCATGAAGAAGTGGGAAGTGAAAGTTTCGAAGATCACTCAAATTTTCTAGTGTGTTTGGAAAGATGAAGATACCAAAATACAGGTGAGATACAAGAAAGAGGAGCAGGTTATGTTGGTAGGGAGAACAGTGAAGATGATCATTGAGGGCAAATTAACTTGTGAGAATCACCCCAGGGTTTTGTATAGAAGACAAAGTTAATTAATTTTGGAAGACCTGGATAGCTCACCTCTGGTATTTTTTTAAATGAATTTTCTTTTGTGGGGTTTTGCATATTTAGAATTTCCACCACCAGCCTCTCTGCTTTCCCCGTTGAAATGTTGGCTCCTGGGATCAGGATCAGAGCAGATTTGAAGGCTTCTTATGTTTTACTTTTATAATTGAGAGAGAGAGAACAGGCCAAAAAAGTTTTCTAGATCCCTCAGGCAGATGGAAATTTTCATCAAAAACATCTTATTCAAGGTATATAGGGTACCAGTTTTTCTTTTGAGGATACTGCAGAATACTACAAGATGTGCAGCGTATTTTCTACATAGAGTGAAGTATAAAACTAGCACCAAATGAACAGTAGTTAAAATTTACTGTCTGTTCAGGTGCTAAGCATATTACATGTATTGTATTTAATTCTTAGTACAAACCAGTGTTACAAATTTCTGAACCCAGATGTGCAGTTGTAAAGCCCATGCTTTTAGCCACTCTGGAACTATAAGCATTTTGACTCTTTCCTGTATAGTTCTCTTTTGTAAGTATATTATAAATAGAGCCAGCCAAAAATAAATTGGTGTTGTCTGTGAGGAGCTGAAGAAGTAAAAGTTAGCACCAAACTTATTTTTATCTTTTTGGCAGTGGTTCTCAGTGGGGCAGTTTTGCTTCCCAGGGGTCATTTGGCAATGTCTGGAGACTTTTTTGGTTCTCACAACCGAGGAGTGCCAATGGCACTCACTACCTAGTAGGTGGAAGTCAGGGATGCTGCTAAACATCCTACAATGTGCAAGACAACCCTCACAGCAAAGAATTGTCTGGTCCAAAATGTCTATAGTGCTGTAGTTCAGAAGTCCTGCCTTAGCAATATTTCTTCAGGAATTTGAGATTCACTTATACTTTTCTTAGAAGCATTTTTATTTTTGAAATTATTCCTTAAAAGATGTGTAAAGTTTATACATCTGGAACAGAATAGCATAACTGGTTTTTAAAGTGAAGCTGTAAGCCACGGTTTCCCAGGAGGTGGGTTGTTACAGAAATTCTTAGATTTGGGAAAGATTTTTGCTTGAAATTATTTTACAACACCGCACAAGTGGTGATTTACTCTGCTTTAAGGTCTTTTGTATCTGGTTTCCTTATATTTTAAATCCATACCTAAACTACTTTTAGTAATTAATTTTTCCTTATACTGAGCTCCAGTCTTATAATTTTGACTTTACTGAATGTGATTCTATTCCATGGGATTACACTCAAACTTGCTACATGTGTAATTTGTACTACTATAGTGTTTATATTTTTGTTTGGTACAGTTCATTTATTACAAAATAGCATATTGTTGGAAATTTAAAAAAAAAAAAAGCATTATTCTCTTGATGACCTTGGTGGTTGAAAGCAGTAGAAATGTATGGGGTTCTTTTGTCCCTGTCGAGCAATGGCACAATAGATCTGGGGTCTTTAAAATACATTCTTAGTATAATGCTGACATACTTGTTTCAGATTATGCATAGACCCTAAAAACTTGGGTTTTTAAACTCTGGTCAATATAATTTGTTATTTAAGTAATAGTTTATCTCTCTTATAAGTTTTAATAAATTTGCTTACAAATGAGTCTGAAACTTGGTCCTGTTGCCAATCTGCCCTCTTCCAGCAAATTTGCTAGGTTTACAAGTAAATATAGGTAATTTGTTTTCGCTTCAAGATTACAATTTTAGAATATGTTTATATTGGGACATGTAGTTTCAAAATATACTTAATGTATATAATCTTATAAGATAGCATAGCTCTTTTTCAAAGTAAACAGGATTTTTATTTAATTGTCTATTGACTTTTTTTTTTCCAGGGTTCATTGAAAAATCCTTAGTGATATTGACATGTTTCAAGTGACATAAATTAGCCAATGACTCGGAATGATGGATTCCCCGAAGATTGGAAATGGTTTGCCAGTGATTGGACCAGGGACTGATATAGGGATATCTTCACTCCACATGGTGGGGTATTTGGGAAAAGTTAGTGAACTTATTTTTTGCCTCAGTGCAAAGTTGGTTTTTGTCCTCCTTTTTATGAGACTTAAATTTGGTTTTAATTTACCAATTAACTTCTAAAAATTTATATCTTCCACGGAAATCTTACAGCAATGGCGAAAGATTATTTTAATGTATTTACCTCTCTGTGTTTTATTGATATGTGAAAGTAGAAATAAAACATAGACCTTGTGGTTTATTATTCTCAGAAAATGTGGAACATACATTTTCCCTGGTAGTTGACATTACTTTTTTTCTTGCAAATAAAACTGATGCTATTTTTAACACTTAAAACTTAGTATTTAAAACTGTAATACATTCTTTTTGGAATAATAGCTATATTTAAAGTGTATATGCATTTCTTTTATTTGCCATGTTTAAAATATCTAGCCAGGACACTTCCAGGTGAAAATTGTATTTTTTTTCTGGGTTACTTTCCATTTAACTTTTTGTAATTTGATACAGTCTAGGAATGTCTATATTTTAATTTACTTTATTTCTTTTTTAGAATTATGATTCAGCTAAAGTCCCGTCAGATGGGTATTGCCCTGCTTGTAGAGAGAAGGGAAAGTTAAAAGCCTTAAAGACTTACCGAATTAGTTTTCAAGAATCTATCTTTTTGTGTGAGGATCTGCAGGTAAAGTATTAATCTTAGATAGTATTAAGGTTTTAGCTTTTTACTATTTTCTTCAGTGTTTAAATTTGTACTCGTTTTGTATTTTTTAGACTGTACATTTTTAATACATAATCAGAGTTTCTAGATCTGCCTAGTGTACAGTTTTAAATATTTTCTGTTATTTTTCCCGAATTATTGCATGAAGATACTTGTTTTTATTATCATTAGACTTGTGAGGGGAGAAAATACATTTCAAGATGGGTTTTTTTTAACCTTGTGGGGGTCCTTGTTAGTTGTTGGAATATAGTAGTTATCCTTTCATCTCTTTGATTTATAAACTTTGGAACTTATTGGAAAAGTTATTAATCTCTAAATATTATATACTTAAGGATCTAAATATCCAGTGTATCCAGTGGTAGAACCTTTTTTTTTTTTTTTTTAAATTTTAGTTACTTATTTGAGAGTGAGAGAGAACATGCGTGCAAGAGAGTGGGGTAAGAGGGAGAACTAGACTCCTTGCTGATTAGGGAGTGCTACTCAGGGCTCAGATCTCAGGACTCCAAGATCATGACTTGACCTGAAGTCACTTAACCAACTGAGCCATCCAGGCGTCCCCAGTGGTACAACTTTTACATAGGAGCTGATTAAATTCCATAATACTCCACATTTTATTGTACTTGACAATTTATGAAACTCTCATATACATGTTTAGTTCTCTAAACTTTGCAAGGTAGTTATTTCCATTATGAATAAGAAATCAGAGAGGGTTTAGGAACATAAGATCTTCATAAAGTTGCAAAACTGTAATTGGAATATAGTCTTCTAATTTCAGATATGTTTTATTCCAAGTAAACTAGCAGTTCATCAGAA